TTTTCTGTGTTTTGTCTGTGTTTGTGCTGTTCGTGCTAATTTCCTCCAGGTATTGCAGTTTCCTCCCACAGTCCAAAAACATGCTGTCTGGTGAATTGCGATTGTGTGTGAACATGTGGTCTACAACAGACTGGCATACTGGTTTCCCTATATGGGGACCTGCGCTCCTAGGGATTGACTGCACTACATGACCCTTTACTAGATACGTGGTGCAGTGAATGGTTGGATAAACTGAACGTCGTTAAAGGACAATCTAAGGTGTCTTTAACCCCAGCTTGCACCTTTGTGGAATGTTACATGTTTTACTTCTGCAGTCAGCTCTTGCCAGTAACCTCTGTACATGTTAATTACAATGATTTCTGAATTTCCTGTTTATCTTATATGGTTATGAACTTGCATGCAAACTTTATGATTCAAGCTTCTTTCCCTCAGTAAAAGATAATAAAACAAAGAAGAATTGTAAAGATGTCACGGTTCAGCCCCTCCCTCTCATTCAAGGCTCTCTCACCTTTAGCGCATTTCTGAATTACCTTACGCTATTCTACAGCAATCGCAACTTCTAGTCAAAGTTTGTTTTTCTTATCCGTAATTGGGCAAAGCTCACGTACAGTAAACATAGTTTGAGTGTCACAGCTAAGCTGTTCCTCAAACTATACTGAGTATTTGCCGTCCATCTCATTGGCTTCTTCACACTGATTACAATAACCTTGGATGGTCCATCTAAACCGCAGCAGTCAAGAGCAGGCCACTTTTCAATCAGACTTGTACCAAATCTGAACTTGAGCCCAACCAAAATATTTGACAGTGTTTAGAGTCATTGTTTAAGAATCATTTTAAAAAATGTTTTGAGACGAATATTACAGAGATGGTGTATTTCATTACAGCCAGCAAAACATTGTGCTTTGTCAGAAAATCTTGGTGAAATTTAGAGACATGGAATTAAGATGCCAAGTTCAGACCGCTTTTCTCGGTTGGACTGCAGTTTGAAATACTATATCCTCCTGAGACCCAAGGGAAAAAAGTGTCCTTCAGTTTTAGATTATTTGTCTTTGGAGGAAATAAGACATCTTACAATTTAGATTTTTTTCAAATGTATTTTTATTTTTAATTTCCCAGCATGTCCTCTTTAGTGTACAACAGGAATAAATAAGTTTCCTAACATCAGTGAAAAGAGAGATGCAAAAATAAAATGTCCACTACAATGGACATAAATGAATGGGTGGGGTCTCAGGAGGATAATAAACACAAGAATCAATATTATTTTTAATAAGAATTCAGATATAGTAATAGGCATGAGCTTTCAATGGCTATCTGTCTCTTGCAAATAAATTCAGGCACTTATGCTGCTGTGTAACTGTAGCATTTAAAATCCACTGCCCCTCGCAGCAGGTCGGTATTTAAGTAAAAAGTACATGTGATTGTTCAAACTCAGCATGATGTTAAGACATTGAGGCTGCAATGGAAGTCAGAACAAGAGCCGTAGATACAAACTCAGTGAAAGCATCATCTTTCCAATAAAAGTTCAGGAAATGTGTTGTATTTGGTGACCTACTATTCGACACCGAGGAGAATATTTTCTGGAGTAAAAATCCCTTTAGATTGATCAGTCATTCAAAAGTTTACCAGAAGTGCTTTTTGTTCTGTTTAACTAAACCGCGTGATTGCCATCGGTTCCAAAGTTGAAGGGTATGTGGACTCGTCCAGGCCTGACTGACTGTGTTACCGTGAACTGTGCAGGTCTGAGTAGGTCAAGTGACCTGTGACCCTGGAAATGTCTTTGTATCATAAGTAAAATTAATGAAACCCACAAACCAGAAGCGTTTATAAATATAGTGATTGTGACACAGGCAGCACATACACTGAGGTCCCCCACCTCCCGTCTCTCTCCCTCTCTCTCTTCTCCCTCCCTGCACAGAGAGACTGCAAGTAGAGAAGAAGGAAGAAACCAAACACAGATTCTTGCAGGTGACTTTTTTTTATCATGGAAGGGACGCAACTTACATTAATATGTACAGAAGGCTAATGTTTGACGATTTAACCAAATGTAATTTCAGTCCCCCCCCCCAAAGGGATTAATTAACACCAAACCAAATAAATACACAAACTTAACACATACTCAACGTGTAAATTGTAGAAAATTAAATGTTATATTCCAAAATGTTAAACAACAGGTTCCCACGTTTTAAGGACACTTTTATTTAATCAAACGTATAAATTCAAAATATAATTATGATCTGCGGTATTTATATTTAGATCCGATAATGTTCAACTATAAACAAATAATGAAACATAGCAAAACAGTCCTTACTACAGGTCGTTCTTTGTGGTTTTATAAAATGGTATACCAGTGTCAATGGAACGAAAATATTCCAAATGCTTTTATGTATAAATATTAATTTCCCCCCCGAGCGCTAACGTGCTGCAGCTTCCTAAGAGGCAGTGTTAAGGAGCAGCGTCGGCGTGTGTGAAGTCGGTTACCACACCCCCTTTGCTTGGCGGCGCCGTGGTATGTTCCGGGGATGCTGATGCTGATGCTGTAGTGAGTGTGAAAGCCCGTCTCCGCAACAGCATCAGACTCCGGCAAGATCTGCGGCTCATCCATACCCCCCCAGGAAAAAAAGACAACCCGATCGCATGCTTCCAGCTCCCTTTATGAACTAGACTCACTCTTGCTATTTCCCAGTGCTGTGTGCGTCAGAGACGCTAACCTGGCGTGTGACGGTGCAAGATTTTACTGATAAGCGACACTGGCTTCGGGTATGTTTCAAGGATAAATGAAGATTAATTAAGGAGGGATATATGTGATCTCGTATAATTGCAAGTATGCTGTGAAGATATGGAATGGGACCAGGCTCTTGTTATGGCAACATCTCGCAAAGGTAATTCCAGATGTGAAATGTTCGTGATGATTTTTGCGTTTGCAATAACCTTTTTAAAAAGAAAACTACAGATTCACACAGCGTACTCACCCGTTTGGTGTGTAGACATGAACGTCTCATGGCCGTCATACTTTTTACGTATAACCTTTTTTCCTTCGGACAATTTTTGCATCCAGTATCCGCTCCTAGTTAAACACACACAGTTTCCGTTGGCCGCGGTGGGCTACAGTGTTCATATGATTTTCATTCTCACTGTATGCAAATACAGCGCTTTTTCCTGGTTTTTCCCACACTGAAAGAATGCCGTTTTAATTTGGCTTCGCTGACATGTTTGCTAACGTTTAACAAATGAAAAAAGTTTGGACATCTTTGGATAAAACGCTATAGTACAGTATTTCTTTCTCTCCGTTATCAGCCCGCACACTCACATATTAATGTTAACTTTTAAATCGTTAATTCCGTACAACCCGAAACTAAGTCATATGTGTATATACTGTACATCCATAAGTATATGTGTAAACATACATATTACAGCCTATGTGTGCACACATGTATGCATATATACATACATGTCTACATACTTGTCAGAATGTTCCTTCTGTGCATACCTTGCTTTTGATGGATATTTCATATTTCAGATCGGGACAGTCGCTTTACGCTCTGGTAGATGTATACACTTGAGCAATCATATTTTCTGAACAGTGAACCTTCTATGCACAGGCACTATGGGACTCAGTCATGTTGATGCAGCGTGAGATTCCAGAATCATGATATTTCTTATGCTCTTAAGGCAAGATATTTGCGGTCTAAAATATCTAGCTATATATATATATATATATATATCAGTACAGCGGGTGTTTCGTTCAATTTGTATTTTCTGCTTTTTATTTGCAGTTTATTTTTCATAAAATAATAGTAATTCGACATTTGTTTCCCGCTACGCAGAAAATGTACAGGATATACGATTGAAATATATAGTGAAATTCAACCCGCGACGTGCCTGCGCAACAAGTGAGAGTGGCGGGTTTGTGTTGTACGTACTGTCAGGCGTTACTGTAACATGCAGCAACCTGTAAAACCCTAAATACTCCTGGAGTGAGGAAAACCAATACGTAAAGCGTAACGGGAGCGTGGGAGTGCAAAATAAAGTGAAACTGGTCTTTCAAGAAATACATTTTTCAATGAAGTGAAGTAATGGGGGCAATGTAAATGAATTAACTTAATTTAAATGTGCCTAGTAGTGCAGAAGTGGCTTTTCAGTTGTTTCACGTGCACTGCGTTTTTCTCGATGTGGATTGTAAATATTCCCGATTTAAATATTAGTTTGTAATATTTCTTAGAAAGCAGTACATCGAAATAAAGATGTGGGCGTTTTTTTATCTAGATGTTTATTTTCATAATTTACACAATTTCTTATTTTAGTAAAATAACTGTAAGGGCTGTTTCTAAATACAAAGACCATATGCAACTATTATTTCTCACTAAATGAATCCCAGATCTGCACTTCCAACATTGTTAATCGTAGTAAATGCAAACCTGCCGAAAGTGTTTCTGACATAAAATCCACTGGAGATCTTGCACTTAAAGTTATTGTGCCGTCTAAAGTACAGAGGGTCGCAAAATATACATGCAGTAGCACAGAGCGATAATGTTGAGGTTATCCGGTTAGATCCCAGAGGAAGCTCTGCTGTTTTATCCTTGTGTGACCTGAACTTGTCTAGAGTAATATCTAGCTGTATGCATAAATTTGTTTGTGAATGTCTTAATATACTAAGCAACGGATAAGCAGCGCTCTCTCTCTCTCTCTCTCTCTCAATACTCAATATATATATATTTCTGATTCATGCCCGTTTTTGGGATCTTTGGACAGACAGACAGACAAAACAAATAAATAAGATAAATAAATGGATGAATGAATAAATAAATGAGCACGGCAGTCTGCTTCCAAAGCCAGGGGGCGCTCATGTCTCATCAGTGGTATAGCCTTTGTTTACAACTGCCATACATGCATTATAAACATTCATGCCAGCTGGTCGTCGTTTAAATCACGCGTTTACAAACACCTCCATAAAGCGGCGTCAGCTGCAGCCGTGCAGCCTGCGTGCGTCCGCGTGGCAGCTGCGCGCCTCTGTTCTGCCTTTTCCTTCGGGTCGTGATCTCATTACAGGTCTGCGAGTCTTTTTTTTTTTGTTTTGTTTTGCTTTAACTTTTATTTCTGTCTCACACGTCGGTGCAAATCGCGGCCCAAACAGCTTCACGGACAGACTATTTAATGCACCAAAGGGGGAAAAAAAGGAGTAACCAGTCGGATTTAATCCTCCCGGCTGAATTCTGCCCCCGAATTTCACATGGTGTCGCAGTTACGGACATTGGATCAGTTTCTGGGTCGCTCACCCTGTGATGCTCCGAAGTGTCACTGCGTTTTGAAAAGCAGGAGTACAGACAGCACCCATAGGCTGCCATGTACTCAGGTCTACCTCAAGCGGTCCAGTGTTAATAGACATTAAAGGTAAAACGGTTCTCTTTCATGTCACGTTTTTCCTGCGTTTTATCTCCTTTTCTGTCACCTCCTCGAACGCGAGCTTTCGTGTCGCCTAACGAGGCGACGTAGAATGAATCCTAAATGTAAAAGGGGCTTTTTTTTTATTAAACGCACGAAGGGAGCAGAAAGTGTGGAAGTGAGGCAGTCTATTAAATAGATTGGTAAATTACTCCGTTTTGGATTTGCCACGCGTTGTCATCATGAACTTGGAAAATGGAGAGCAGAGGTCTCGCTATTGTCAGGTGTGTTTTTATAACACTGAACTGCGTGCGAGCTAAACATGGACTGGGGTGTGTTAGTCAGCGACGGAATGAGGGTCAGTTTGATGATGACGCACGTTAATGCGAATGTTATATTTTATTTTAATATCCGCCTTAAACCCACTTGCACATGTGAGGCCTTGAATTTTGCCCCCCTTTGAGCTCTGATTATGAGCAGCACCCAGTGCTCTTCTAAGCAGTGGAGGGCAGCATTGAATTTTAATCACTGTATTTGATGGCCAATCTGTCATTCTGTCCACAATCAAGGCATCCTGCGATGTTCTTTTTTCCCCTTTTAATTATCTTGAAATTTAAAGGAGCAGGGGCTTATTGAAGAAGATTTGTTATACTTTAATATCTTAAAAATAAAAATTGCAAAATCTGAAATTCTGATTTATGAATTTTAACTCATGACACCGTAAAATAGTTAAGAAATCCTCCTAGTTTATCCCACATGACTATATTCACCAGTAAAAGACCAAATTGTCCTTTTACTGCATGGGTAAGTCAGTGATATAAAGCATTCTATTATTATTATTATTATGATTATTATTAATAATAATAATAATAATAATATTTTAAAAAGCATTGATATGAACTTAAATATATCCTTAACAGTCCCTGACATCGTGGTAAATTTTCAATGCTAAGAGACTCTGCATGCCAAAAATATTTTCCACTTCACTTGATACGCTTACTATCACTGCATTTTTTGCCTGGAAGGAACAGGCAAAATCAGTAATGGAAAAAAAGGTTGTCAGTTTGCATCTGACCATATCTAGATCAAACGTATTAAGGTGAGGGATAAAAATGGATTCGACAACTTAAAGAGATGCCAGCCATTTATAGATATAATCTATAATATGTATAAATAACCCTCAGTTTCTAGCTGCATGACTCGTCATGCTTGTTGGTGTTTCTTAGTTCTGCCCTGGCCGTGTTTGACGGTGAATTACTAGATGGCAGAATGCATACATTTGCTGATTTTTTGCTGGATTTAACAGATTCCCACTGTGCTCCCAATTACATGTTCGGTGCAGATCACATGCTCTGACTTGTCTTGCATCTGTAATCTCAGACCTTAAGATGCCTTTAAATATCCATCATGTGATATGAGATTAATGTTTGACTTCCTGGTAAAGTTACCAAAAATTATTTGGAGTTACAGATCCCATACCTTTGCCTGCATAGATATTTATATGGATATTAGATTAAATGCACTTTTGTTTGACATGAATGGAAAGTTCTGACTTTTGTTTTGACTTGGTATATAATACTGACCTTTAGCAAGAAAGGCTAGAAGAAAGAAAGTGACCTTTTTTGGCATAATCAGATTTTGGATTTAGTCTTTTTCACAGAAGAGCTTGAAGCAGGTCAGCTGATTTTCACCTACTAATGTTAGCTTGCATTATGTTCACTAAGCTTACAAGCTAACAAAGCACTCATTTATTGGGTGATGCTGCTTCTCTGTTCATGTGTTTACAGAATACAAATGTGTCGTGTCATAAAAAAAGTACATGGTTGTTTGGCCAAGTCCCCACAAGAGGCTTGATGTAGGTTGATGGCAAGGACACTGTGTGTGTGTGTGTGTGTGTGTGTGTGTGTGTGTGCGCGCGTGCATGCAGGCACGCATGTGGGTTTGTGATGGGGCAGTACACAAATGCATTTCTGTTACAAATCACTGAACAATAGACAGATAGATAGATCGATGTGGGAGTGGTATCATTTTGTCGTTTGTCTATTTTTTTATTTTTCAGATTGTAAGTGCACCTGTTTGGAAATTATCCCAATGTTTTGTCTATTACCAAGACATTAATATTCAAACTCTGTTTGAACAAGCTGTAGAATGGTACAGACCTTTAGCCTCGATTGGGGGGTGTCGTGTCTGGAGTTTGGGGAATCAGGTGTTTAAAGCAAATCTGGTTAGCAGGCAAAAAACAAAAATGAGTTTATTACGTCATATGTAAGCCAAAATTTGTCATAATACAAGTGGACAGCATACAGCATTTCCTTAGATGTATGACATTTAGCGCTTCTTGCTATCGATAATCGTCTGTAGAAGGACGTTTTATGTTATATTGATGCATATGTCCATTAGCCGCTATTTGTTTGCATATAATGAAGTCATTGGCTAGACATTTGAATAGGATCTTCCAGGAAGGCTGAGGATTCGACCGATTTCTGTTCTGGCTTAGCCCGGCGCTCTGCCGGCCGGCACTCTGGAGAGTCGTCAGAGCGACGGCGATCCTGGCACAGGAGACCCAGAAATTTACATAGGCACGCCGCTTCTTTGGACAGCGGCTTTGGCAGGGGCAGTGGTAACATTTCCGGTAACATTTACAGGAGCACGGAACAGACCGAAGTCTGCGCACCACATAAACTTTAGGTCGCGCCGTTATAAAAGCGGGGGGAGCAGTTTTTCAAGCAAGCCCGTGGGGTTCCCTGTAGTAGGTAGCCTGACGCCACGCTAATTCTCCATCCGTATGTCTGGCAGATGAAGTCAACACGAGAAATAACATATCCACATCGTAGCTATTATTTAATCAGAGTCTTTCTAAGCAGAATCGATGCGGTGTGTGTATAAATGCACCGGACGCCATCCACACACTGTATCCGTCACCGATTGAATGATCGTAGCTCATTATAGCCAGTGAGCTCAGTTATAGTGTCCCTCTTCTCATCTTTTATCTCAAAGCCTCAGTCCCCTCGTTATCTAATTGATTTGTCAGTAACCCGGGAATTGCGCAGGGCATTGTCAATGCTCTGTAATTGCTATAAGCCGGAGACCAGCTCCCCTGATGGGGAGAGCCATCCCTACCCTGGACATACTGCTATTGACGCCCCACCTCCTGACTGAGCTTCATCATCTGCACCATGGTGTGCCCCACCCCCCCCCACCCCATGAAAACCTGACAGGTCTCCACGCTTAACTGGAGTCTCTGCCGGCCTGCATTTCTCAACCTCTGGCAGCTTCTGCCGTTAAATCCGAACGGAGCCCGTGAAACGGACGGCAGGGCTGCCTCTCTCCTCCTCGGAGTCACATGCGGTCCAGGTGTCCCCTCCATCCCGATGACTAACGGCCCGATGGTGGTCTGGCTCGGCTGCTCCGCACGGAAGCAGCTTGTCTCGGATTTGGGTTGGGGTCGAAATCTTGACAGAAAGCCCATCAGGCATGGTGGTCTTAGCCCCGGCTATTATAAAGGTCACGGCGGCCTGTCTCACCTCCGCTGCCTCAGCTAGGCCGGCATTCACTGATGCTATCGTTATATTTTTACAATCGGGAGTGTATCCCCTCCTCCCCTCCCCTCCCCTCCCCCATCGCTCTGCTCCTGGCTCTGAGTTCTAATATATCTCCAACACCCTCCTTCCACCTGGAGTCGTGTCTTTTGGGTTCCCTCCTGAATATGTACCCTATAAAATAAGAAAGTGCTTGAGTTATCCTTCTTAAAAAGCAATAATCACAATCAGACACCTAAAATATTAATAGCTTTTTGACTTTTTTTAAAAACTTATTTATATATTGTACCAGTGTAACTTATTCCCCAAGTGGTATATCAACCCAAATATATGAATAAATTATATGAAAAATATTGATTTAGCATCATCTGAAAGGCTTGCTGAATAGGTTTTGTTCGCATTATTTGTTCTTTGGATTCTAATTTCTGAAAGCAAAAGGGGACAAGTATGTTGGGTTATTAGTAAAGCTTCACGTATTTAAATAGCACGTCGAATATTGGCTGAATCCTTCCGCAGCCTGGGAGGTTTTGTGGTGTTGTGGAGGGACCCTAAAAGCAGGGGTGCATAGTGTGTTCTTCCTTGACGGGAGGATATTCATTGAGTTATGTCCCCTATAAAGAGGATATTAGTATCATACTGTAACTCATTTCTGTGTCCTTTAAGGTAGAGTGACTCAATAAATCACATGGAAATGCCCAACGTGGGCTTGCCTGAACGCTGCATCTTGGAGCCGGTTGGATAACGATATTCAATCCCAGTTCCACATTGGGAATATTGATGGCAGTGATTAAAAACAGGCAATCAGCAGCCAGGCTAAGCTTTGTGATGGGCAGATGGGGCCTAAGGCGTCCTGCTTTGTAACAGACTCGTCAGGATCCCATTAAAGCTCCTCTCCCAGATACCCACCTTTCCACATTTCCATTTTTAGCCCTTACAGGTTCTTCTTCTTGCAGATTCAGCTGTACTAACCTCACCGCCTGCCCAGGAGCCCTTAAGGAAGGCCATCTCCATCCTCATTGGTACTCCTTGCCAGGGTGGCCATTACCTAACAGTGACCTGAGCTTTTAGGTCCTGTTTCATTTGATGTATTTTGTATCTTGTGGAAGTCCAGCTTCTGTAGTCTTTTTATTTTGTTTTTGCCACTGAATCTGAGAGAGATGACATCATCAATGTCGTCTTTTGGTGTTCATTTTGATTTTCTCACAATGTCGCGTTTTGAATGGCATGTGTAATTATGACATGTTGATTTTGCCGATAAGCAATTTTAATGCTCCATTACTTGCCCAGGTCCCCCTTTATAACATGAACAGAATTTTGTTTGTTTGTTTGTTTGTTTGTTTGTTTGTTTGTATTAAGGGCATTTCTGATTGTGAGTTAAAATACCTACACTTCAGTATTGGATAAGTGGTTGGAAGATGGATGGATGGATGGATGGATTGTGTAAATATATCCATGAATATTCATGCATAG